AGAGTAAAAGTAGGGGTGGCGGGCCCGCTGGAACTTCACAATGGGGTTAAATATGTGACCCCTATCGACACATTTCCCCTATTTACAGAAATGCATTGGGCCAAGGCCTCCAGCTCACCATACAGGGCACACTTGAGCAAGCTCCCTTCCCGCCCACAGGCACCAGGAAGGTTCTGCACACTCGCCCTCACTAATCAGCTCCTCTGCCCTCCAGATCTCATCCTCTCCAGTGGGGCTGACTTACCGCCTCCGTCCAGCCTGCAGTCCCTCAGCTGCCTCCACGCCCTCCCTCCTGCCCACTGGGAGATCTTCCCTCTCGGGAGGATTGACCTCTGTCCCTTCCCTCACAGAAGTGGGGCTGCGAGCCGTTTGGGTCACTGAAACACTGCAGAGCAGCTCCACCGGTCCAGCACGAAAGCAAGCGTGAAATATGGACCATCAGGATGAAGCCCTTCTGAGGAGCCTTAGCAGGAAGGAAGAGGGTCTCAAACCTTTCACGCATCTAGGAGCATGCCCTCTCCAGATGCTTCAGACACAGCAAGAAACGTAATATGCTCACAATATGAAAATTGTTCATGAGCCTTTGCTATCACCCAGAGAGAGAATCCCACCCCATGGCACAAACCTCAATTGTTTCCCGTCCCATAAATTTGGCTGGTAGAAAGCAAACGGCAGCACAAATGCCCTCTAGAGCTGAGACAAGATTGCAGGATTTCTTGCAAACACTTCCAGCAGCGAGCACACCTGTGTCCCCGCTCCCACCTTTTCTTCGGACAACCTGTTGGCACTGTCCACATCCCCTCCTCCTGACCTCAAAGGAGCATGTCTGGGCAATTTAGGGCAATCTGCTTGCTACCCCACAAGCTGCTCCAGCATCCTGGGGGATGGTTTCCACAAGAGCATACAACAGAGAGCACAGGAAGGTCAGGAGCCGAAGGCCCCGAGCGAGCGAGCGAGCGAGCAAGCAAGCAAGCAAGCGGCTGCTTCTGGCCTCCCACAGCTTTGCTGAACGTCAGTCACATGGTGGTCAAAACCATTTGCACGTGCGGCCTCACTCCTACGGAGAATAAATGGAGGCGGCCCACTCCTCGCTCCCACCTCCCAAGGCCCCTCAGCACGCTTCAGGCAGCTCTTCCCCACTATTTCTGCCTTTCTTCCCCATTAGAAGCCTGCCCACAGCCCTTCCCTCCCCCACTCCATCAGCCTCGGCGAGCCTTTCGGATCCTTTCTCACAACAGAGCTTTTCCAGCCCACTGGCTTAACCTCCAAGTCCTCTTCCGCAACTGACGCCAAGCTCCTGTCCTCAGAGAACGAATCCACATGCAACCCCTCTAAACACTCTCTTAACACTTCCATAAATAAAAGAATTTACAATGCCCCATGGCAGTTCACACCATCAGTTAAAAACATAACATTGCCAATGCAATAGAATTATCACATTGCTTAAAAGCAGGGCTGCACTTAAAATCTCATAGGAAGGACAACAAATCCACCCCTCAAAAAACAAACAAACAAACAAACAAACAAAAAACAAAAGAGACGAAGAAAATCCAAAATGATGGTGAAACAGAAAAGTCTTGATCCGATTCTCTGAAGCCAATAAATCAAACAAACTTTTCAGGCAGAAGAATATTGTTTCCTCAGCTATCTAAATTTCAGATTGTATGCACCTTGGGACAGGAATCTTTTCCCCTTCTTTCTTATGTCGCCCTGTGGTGTGCTGGGTATATAGATGGCACTGCAAAATTATAATTATGATACTGGTAACGACTTTATCATGGAATCATATGCAGATGGCATTTCCCTAAGTCAGAATTCCTCTCCCCGCAAGAACAGAGCAACCGCTGGGAAGGCAGCTGCTGGCCGCCTCAGGCATAAATGTACCCGGAGCATGTGGAATCTGCAATTCTGGAGGGCTCCTTGGCACACCGGACCAGACCCAAAAATGTGGCCATGAATGTCCCTTCAGTTTTGCTGAATATTTTTGCAGAAAAGCAAACATTGCATACTACAAACATGGGATTCTCCCTGCAGCTGGACAGAAAGAAGAGAAGGTTTGAGACAGAATTTCCCAACATTTTGCGAGCATTTTGGCCCCCCTTTTTTGCTGGGGCAAGGCTTACAAATCATTCTCAAATAAAGTGGCTGAACACAAAAGGCTTCTGCCCTTTTAATAGCTATGTAGAAAAGGTTTACTCATTGTGTGTTTCTTAGCATGCAACCTAAACCAGCTGAAATTCCCTCTTCTCCGTTTATACTGAAGGCCCTGTGGGCACCACCACAAAATGGCTCCCACAGAGGGTGTGGCTAATCTTGTAATGGCTCCACTGGTGACTTGCTAGTCACAAGACAAATCATTCAATCAACCGAGTACAGCGGGTGTGAACACCAGCGGCAAGCCACAGATGTGACCCCAAGACCATTTAAGGCTACAGTCTTGTGCACTGTGGGAATTACTTCTCAAGAACCTTGCATAGGATTGCTCTGCTCACCCCATCCATATGCATATACTTTTTCCCAGTCCCAAGGGGAAGGAAAAATACCCTCAAAAGTTTAGGACAAGTTTCTAAGTTTATGTCTCCATAAACTTGCTGCGTGTAAAGGAGACCAGGGGCTGGGAAGGGTGAGAAAAAGAGCTAAGTTAGAGGCCTGGAGGAAGAAGTAGTAGGGAGATGGGGAGGAGGAGGAGGAGAGAATGAGGCAGGTAGGGGACTGGGGAGGATGGGAAAACTGCGCAAGAAGCAGCAAGGACAGATGGGGGAAGGAGCCGAGGGAAGGCTGCATGTTGGTGGAAGAAGACAGAGCAGGGCAAGGCTGAGATGGAGATGGAGCAGGGCAAGGCTGAGATGGAG